ATTTACTTTGATTTATTACACTGACAATGTTAAAAAGGTAATGAACAGGAAGTATTTTTTACTTATATTTCAACAGCAGACTATCAATTTAGAATATTTGTTAAATAACAACTTCAAAAACTATGAAAAAATATTTTACATTTCAATAGCAAGAAAAATTCATTATGATAAAATATCATAGGACCAGTAGAAATACTCCATATAAAAACCATATTGAACAAAAACATGGTGGGATCATGAATACTTTTGGGAATGTTTTTATAAAATTGCGTGCTGTCGTCACTAGAAAAAGAATATGCCTCAAAATATTCATGATCCCTATCCTTTTTTGTTCAACGTATTTTAATCCCATTAAAGACAAGTGAGTACATTTATGACACTAATTCTCTGTCCACCTTTTTTTAAAACAGCATAATAATTATTACAACATAATAATCATAAGATTGATTAAAGTTTAAATATATGAATTTAATAATTCTCAAATTTATCGCAGGGGATATCAAATACTTATGGATACCTATTCAGCATATTGTGATGTTTCGGTCAAATCTTTATCAAAGATTTAAATATGTACCTAGCATAGTTGTCCTAATGATGGACAGAAAAAGCATATAGACTTTGATAATTTTAACAAGAGTCATCCGAAGATGACATATCCCCCGACTTGGCATGTCGGTAAACTGTGTGTACCTTCAAATGTATTTAGATTGGCAAGGAAATCTTTTTCCTTGATGCCAAAACCAGAAATATAATGAAGGTTATTAAATATTGGTTCATGTAGCTCACTTTCTGATGATCTCATGAAATTGTAATAACAATAACTTCGCAGATTCGCATATGAATAGCTCTGTAGTAGCCTCATGACACAAAGGCATAAAGAGAATGTACTAGGTTATGTAGCTCACATCATATATAGTATATGATATCGGTAAATAGTACACCTTAGAATTATATGTCAGGGGCTACAAATTAAAAAGATTAAAATCTATAAATAACAAACTGCACTACTACTAGTGAACATGATTCATATGTGCATAAAGTTTGGTGAATCTCTGTCGCATGGTTTAGAAACTATGCTCCAGATAAGGACATTACCCTAAGTTCATCAATTTTCAATTTAAATTGAAAAAATAAAAAAAATAAAAAATCTGTTAATAGCAAAGGCACCACTACATAACCTGCTTGATAGGTGTAAAAACCTTTGAGAAGCTAAGTTGTATAGTTCGGGAGATATGGTCCGGACAAGAGCACTACCCCCAAATTTCCTAAGTTCATCATATTTCCATGGAAACGACAAAAATATAAAATTCTAAAAATCTCTAAATAGCAAAAGGCACTTCTACTGGGTGGGGCATGGGCGTGGGGTATGGAGGTGGGGTAGGGGTTGGGGTGGGGTTGGGGTGGGGCATGGGGCATGGGGGTGGGGGTTGGGGTGGGGGTGGGGCATGGGAGTGGGGGTAGGGTGGGGCCGGGGGAATTGCTATACATTATCACTATTTGGGCTAGTGGATGTTTTGGTTAATTTCCATCCCTTTTCAACTCTCAAATTCACATGTTGCCAAAGCAATATTAGTTATCTGTACACTAAATGACGAAATTTCTGGTTATTTTTATTACCACTGGCTGGAACAGAAACTTAAAAGAGGAAAGAAAATTTAAGATTCTTTTTCATCCCATTATGAAGAAACACATTTTCAGACACCAAATGTTGGGAGATGGTTTATGTACATAGGTGGACGGTCTTCAGGCAAACAGCCCATTCACCCACACAACTGTCAGTGTCTGCTGGCAATAAGTTCATATGAAAACAGATTTCCTGCTTGTGTTATCATATTTCATAAAGTTTCTTAGCATTTAACAAACTTTTATCACACTAATTCAAATAAATCATCAAAAAAAGAGAGAGCTATTTATGAGGTATTATCTAACATTACTTCAGTGATTGTACCCGGACCGGCATTGAACAGGGTGAAGCAATATCGAGGACATTAACGCATCAATTACAGATCACACAGCTATTTACTCATGACAAGATAAAAGTGAAACTTGTACCCATCAAGAACATCAAATGTGCAAAATCCATCATTTTCCGTTCGTACATTGCCTGTCAACACAAAGCGACATCCTCGCCATGTTTGTGCAACGACAAGGGTCAAACTTATAGCACCCGAAAGGCCCCTCGTACTTTGCCTTGGCTTTTCACAGTGTTGACAAAAATAATTACAACTTCAGATTCGTGCAAAACAGAATACAGCAGGAGCGAAGAGTGGCTCTGTCGGCAATCGACATCGCTGAGAGGTCCACCCTTACATATGTCATGCACTTGTGTCTTTGAAATTGACAATTAACAGTCGTCTCCTAGTCAAAGAAGTCTCTTTGAGTGGAAGGTTGCACTTAACATTAAGACAGGTTGTTTGTTTGATGATACACAGAACAGCATGTACAAAATAGTTGACATGTACGCTCCTAGATGCTCCAGCCGATACCTCTGATAAGATTACTTGATTAGAATGTTATTATCAAGTGCCTGCGATGTGTTTTTTCTTCATGTTTTATATCAGGTGTATTATGAGTTTACTTTGACTTCTTCAGATGTTGAATTTATGTTTGTTACAAAAACATCAATACATCTTAAAAAAGGTACAATTGCATAGACTGTTAGTGCATGAATTATTAGTAGCGTTGCAAATGAAATATATATTATCTGTTTATTAAGGAACCAACCATTTGAAAATCTGTGTGTGTGTGTGTGGGGGGGGGGGGGGGGGATCTTATCGAAAAATATAAATTGTCCCCAAAAATGCTTGAAAAATATATGTTACACTACAGACTGAGGGCAAAATTACATTGTTGCAAGAAGCTTCTCTTTATTTAGGCGCAAAGTTACTATTAATACAATATCTTGTTTTGCAGATGTGACACCTCCTGAACAACTTTGATTCATTTATCCCCGAGAAACTGCAGCTCAAATTTTGTAAATCCATATTATGTGTCAACAAAACAACACACAACTGGGCAAGCCAAGCAGAACTAGGGCTCTACCCTCTTATCTACACAGTAGTAATCAAAATAGCAAATTTTTATCACCATGTATGTTCTTCCAAAAACATAATACTTCAGAACGCTTTTACAGAAAGTACATATTTGGTGAAAAAACTATTAGGATGGGTTTACCAGCTCAATCTCTTCTTAGGAAAACACAATTTGAATACTTCAGCTTTCCTATCACCAATATTCAAAGAGACAATCAAATCTAAATTCAACTCCCTCTTCAAGGAATCTCTTCAAGATGTAAATGGCAACCAGAGGCACAGGAAACAAACTTAGGACATACAGGATAGTTAAAAATGATATAAAATTAGAACCCTATCTCTGTCACTGTAAAGTAAGAAAATAACGAATGCACTTTTCTAAACTAAGATTAAGTAACCATAAATTAACTATATCACCCACCCCACTACATCGGAGACTATGCTCTACATGTTCAACCATTGATGATGAAAAACTCTACCTACTTCACTGTACTAAACACACTCAAGAAAAATATATAGTCTTTGGAAAATTATGCACACACAACGTAAACGTTCACAGACATGAAAACAAGTTATTTCACTACATCCTGTCAAATAATGAAGCCATCAATATCAATTGCATTTGTTTCCATGTCTATCATTTCAAGCAATTAATACCTCTTGATGTTAATCAACTGACGACATTTTATGTTTAGTATCATCAAATATGTAATATTGATTGCCTTTTGTTTTTGTATGTGTCTACAGGAATGTAAATTATGTATGTCTGTATATATGTATATATGAATCATAATGTCTTGTCTTTTAAAATTGCATCTGTCCCGTAATGGAACGTTTCTGCAATAAATATTATCTTATCTTATCTTATCTTACAATATCTTGTTTTGCAGATGTGACATGTATCCAGTTTTTTCCTAAGGCAAAGAAGTTGTAATAGTATAGGTATTCATATTTCATAATCAAAGTTCATCAAAATACTAAGAATTTGAGCACGAGTTTCCACACACAATTTTTCTCCTCTATTTTCACTACTTGAAATCACGACCACATACAAAGTCAAGGTGATTCCTAAAGAATATGTTTCCTATATTGCCATGAGTCATGACACTAATTCTCTTCTTGTTTCCTTTCACTCTATGCTCTAGAGCCTGACCAGGACAGACCCTGCTAAACCTGGCTTCCTATGAATAGTCTATGTCTAGTTTAATCCATCTCTTTATCCTATTCCACCCATGTTCAGGCATGCAACATCACGAATGTATAATTAATAACCGAATATTACAGAACAATGAATACAATAAATTTCACCATTTTTAAAAATAAATTTCAAAATTTTGTTTAAGCAATATTAGCCAATATACTCAAGACTGATTTATGTTGAATTTATTCTTTACAAAAATCAAAATGGACCTGATAAATATAATGTAATCAACATAAAATAACAGTGCCAAGCTATGGGATCCCAAAGTGGGCTTGTGTTTGGCACATGGAGACAACGACGTACTGACAAAACAATCAACGCAGGCAGTATATGTGCCTGAACACATCGCAGCCTAGAAGGGGTCATCTCCCTTGTAATACCCAGAAGAAAAGAGGCAAAAAAGAAAAGCTGATTGTTTGATAGATTTGACAGGCAGTTGTCAGTCGTCGCTTTCACCGATGTCAGTTACATCTGGAAGCCGCCTGTCAAACTTGAGAGCCAATCAGAAGCTGGGGGTGAAATAAGCGAGGGGGATTTGACACACAGGTACAGTGGAGGTGTGTGTAGCCAGGGTAATTAGCGACTGACTGCCGGCCCGGCTGGGTAGTTATCCATGTGTTGGAGCAGCTTCAGAGACAGCTCGGGAAACTATACTGTTAGTGATACAACTACAAGTATATTTTTTTCTGAAATAGATGTTCATGTTAACCTTTGAGCTGTTGACATTACTGCTGACATCGTTACATGTTCATTCCAGTGATGTTGACCAAAATGAGCAACATCATCATCATCATCATCATCAGCAGCAGCAGCAGCAACATCATCAGAATCAGAGGCTGCAGCTACAGCATCAACTTCCAAACATCACAATCATCATCATCATCATCATAATCATCATCCTCATCAACATCATCATCAGAGTTACCCATATACTCTGCCATCATCATCATCATCATCATCATCATCATCATCATCACAAGACAGAGTTACCCTCATACTCCTCCATCCTTGCACCCTTGTAAATAAATAATCTTAGATTTCTGTGAAAACCATAAGCACCAGTCCGTACCAGCCCAATACATTTGCAGGGCTCCGTAAAAAAAAAATGAAAGGTTTGGCACCAAAAACAAACCCTACGCTCAACTGAACTTTGAAAAGGATACAAAATGTCAAAAAAATTGAGAGCATCGAAAGGCACAAGTTCAGTACCTGCCTGAAGTGTATGCAGAGTTTCATGAGGATATCGTAAACGGTTTATGAGTTATGTTCTTTGAGCAAATACAAAAGAAAAGAAACAAGGGCCATTCCCCTGTAAAATATTAATTCTCGAATGCATGTTTCAAAATTGACAACATATTGATCAGATATGTATTCATAATGTCAACTATAGCTGTTTCCAGGAAAACTTCTCCCTAATGGTGTTACTGTGCACCAAGTTCAAAGATCAAACTCAATGCTGGTTTTGGAACTAGATCTACATATACCGTATTCGGGCGTAATAAGCGCCCCGCTCTAATAAGCGGCCACGGCGACATTTGCTAAGATATTGGCTTGTGAACAATCCCAATTAGCGCCCCTTCCGATTGATCAATGTACACAAGACTTATTTATTCACGTATAATATGCACTCGTGTGTTATATGCACCATTAATTATGGGGAATATAATTCTGGAAAAATATATCTGTCATACATTAACATTTCAGGCTGTCAGCATAAACCACGAAATTTATCTTTCAACTCTGTTTTTTTTCACCAAAATAACATTCTAATAAGCGCCCCCTTGGACTACTCAATAGAAGTTAAGAACACCTGATTCTTTCATATTACTATAGTTCATCTGTCACTGCATGAGTGGGATATATCAACGTGAGAACTATAGATTCTATGAAAATGTCATCATAATCACAATCCTCATTACAGTCCTATATTCATCGTCCTATCATCATTATCATCATCATCATCATCATCATCATCATGGGGCGGTCGGGTCGCCTAGTGGTTAAAGTGTTTGCTCGTCATGCCGAAGTCCCGGGTTCGATTCCCGACATGGGTACAATGTGTGAAGCCCATTTCTGGTGTCCCCTGCCGTGATATTGCTGGAATATTGCTAAATGCGGCGTAATACTCATACTCATCCACTCATCATCATCATCATCATCATATTGACTGTAAATCATCATCATCACCATCATCATATTGACTGTAAATCATCATCATCATCATCATATTGACTGTAAATCATCATCATCATCATCATCATCATCATATTGACTGTAAATCATCATCATCATCATCATATTGACTGTAAATCATCATCATCATCATCATCATCATATTGACTGTAAATCATCATCATCATCATATTGACTGTAAATCATCATCATCATCATCATCATATTGACTGTAAATCATCATCATCATCATATTGACTGTAAATCATCATCATCACCATATTGACTGTAAATCATCATCATCATCATATTGACTGTAAATCATCATCATCATCATATTGACTGTAAATCATCATCATCATCATCATCATATTGACTGTAAATCATCATCATCATCATCATCATCATCATATTGACTGTAAATCATCATCATCATCATCATATTGACTGTAAATCATCATCATCATCATCATCATCATATTGACTGTAAATCATCATCATCATCATATTGACTGTAAATCATCATCATCATCATCATCATATTGACTGTAAATCATCATCATCATCATATTGACTGTAAATCATCATCATCACCATATTGACTGTAAATCATCATCATCATCATATTGACTGTAAATCATCATCATCATCATATTGACTGTAAATCATCATCATCATCATCATCATATTGACTGTAAATCATCATCATCATCATCATCATCATATTGACTGTAAATCATCATCATCATCATCATCATCATATTGACTGTAAATCATCATCATCATCATCATCATCATATTGACTGTAAATCATCATCATCATCATCATCATCATCATCATCATCATCTTGACTGACAATACCATGACTAAACAACATCTCAACAATACCATGGATAAAGGACAATATTCTAAGTGACACTCCACAAATATGTAAAATATTGCCCAGTATAGCAGGGCCCATACTTCCATGAACAAAAAAAATGCATGAAAAAATTGTTTCATTATTTTTTTTCCTCCCCATGTGAGAGAGAAATGAAAATATCCAAACACTTGACAAACAGGCTCTGTATTCATTAATTTCACGGAGTTTTTGCTCATTCGTCACAGCCAGTTTTTCCACTGTTGGACAGATGTTTCAGCATTTGTTTCTTCCATTCTGTTGACATGTGGCTCAAACCAAAATCTCCTTCACTCTCAATGGAAGACAGATTGCTGCAGGTGGGAAAAACTCCCACCCACCCATCATTCATGTAGCCCAATGGCTAGAGTGTTTGCTAGGTCCACTCAAGACCTGGTTTGACTCTGGGAATGGCTTGTTTCATACCAACCCATCATTCATGTTGGCCAAAGGCTAGTGTGTTTGCTAGGTCCACTCAAGACCTGGTTTGACTCTGGGAATGGCTTGTTTCATACCCATCCATCATTCATGTAGCCCAATGGCTAGTGTGTTTGCTAGGTCCACTCAAGACCTGGTTTGACTCTGGGAATGGCTTGTTTCATACCCATCCATCATTCATGTAGCCCAATGGCTAGTGTGTTTGCTAGGTCCACTCAAGACCTGGTTTGACTCTGGGAATGGCTTGTTTCATACCCACCCATCATTCATGTAGCCCAATGGCTAGTGTATTTGCTAGGTCCACTCAAGACCTGGTTTGACTCTGGGGATGGCTTGTTTCATACCCACCCATCATTCATGTAGCCCAATGGCTAGTGTGTTTGCTAGGTAGGTCTCCTCAAGGCCTGGTTTGACTCTGGGAATGGCTTGTTTCATACCCACCCGTCATTCATGTAGCCCAATGGCTAGTGTGTTTGCTAGGTCCACTCAAGACCTGGTTTGACTCTGGGAATGGCTTGTTTCATACCCTCCCATCATTCATGTAGCCCAATGGCTAGTGTGTTTGCTAGGTCCACTCAAGACCTGGTTTGACTCTGGGAATGGCTTGTTTCATACCCTCCCATCATTCATGTAGCCCAATGGCTAGTGTGTTTGCTAGGTCCACTCAAGGCCTGGTTTGACTCTGGGAATGGCTTGTAGTTTGGACAATCCAGTGATCGATATTGTGAGCAACGAACCACACCAGGTTTTGATGACACATCATACATTCAGTCACCTCACACAACCAGCATAGGCTGCTGGGGACCTATTCTAACGTGGATCTCCCACCTGGTGAAAATGAGTGAATGAATGTAAACATCACAGCAATATACTGGCAGGTTAAAACCATGGACCATGTAAACCAATGGTTGATAGGATATACCTTCTAAACATGATTCGGTCTCAGTTGAGGCCCTTTTAACAGCAATACCGTTGCCACTCTCCACACAAATCTTTGTTAACATGGACCCTTTCTTGCCCCATTACCCTTCTCCACATGGACCATTCTCACACGTTACCCTTCTCCACATGGACCATTCTCACACGTTACCCTTCTCCACATGGACCATTCTCACAGGTTACCCTTCTCCACATGGACCATTCTCACACGTTACCCTTCTCCACACGGACCCTTCTCACATGTTACCCTTCTCCACACGGACCCTTCTCACCCATTGCCCTTCTTCACATGGACCCTTCTCACATGTTACCCTTCTCCACACGGACCCTTCTCACACGTTTCCCTTCTCCACATGGACCCTTCTCACCCCTTTCCCTTCTCCACACAGACCCTTCTCACCCCTTTCCCTTCTCCACACGGACCCTTCTCACACGTTACCCTTCTCACACGTTACCCTTCTCCACACGGACCCTTCTCACATGTTACCCTTCTCCACACGGACCATTCTCACAGGTTACCCTTCTCCACACGGACCCTTCTCACCCATTGCCCTTCTTCACATGGACCCTTCTCACATGTTACCCTTCTCCACACGGACCCTTCTCCACATGGACCCTTCTCACCCATTTCCCTTCTCCACACGGACCCTTCTCACACGTTACCCTTCTCACCCGTTTCCCTTCTCCGCACAGACCCTTCTCACCCGTTTCCCTTCTCCACATGGACCCTTCTCATACGTTACCCTTCTCACCCGTTTCCCTTCTCCGCACAGACCCTTCTCACACGTTACCCTTCTCCACACGGACCAGGGGTCCGGAAAATTTAAAATCCCAATCGGACATTTGCATTTAGGCCACGCCCCCTTCAAATAGCGTATTTTAGTACGATTTTCACACACATTACAAGTTTACGTATTCATAATATGATGAATTATGAATTGTTTCAATTTAAATGTTTAATTCACCGGACAATTAATAACAAATAATATCATTTTAGATTTACATGGAAAACATACGTTTGTTTCTTTTATAATAACGATCTGTTAGCGTAGTGAACAGTCTAATTAATATTCATGAGTTATATTCATGAGTCTGCTCAAGTGTACGCGTTGTAACATTTGGATCGAGACTATTATCCCATATTTGGTTATCAGGTGACCTCACGGGAATTTTTTTTTTTTAAACTAAAGATTTTTTTAAAAACAAGACAGATAATTTAATCACAAATACAAAAATATCGTTGATAGCAATAGTTATTTGAATACTTTTTTCATCTGTACTTATTTATTGACCATAAAAAAATTGGATATCGATCGTCCGAGAAAGCAAAATGGCGGTCAATCAAGATTCAATATACGACTAGCTACTGAAAACAATAAAATCTGCAAATCCTCATTGTATGTCAACCAAGTGAAAGTCGTTAGCCACGACTTACAAAATGATCGTCCAGACTTTAAGAGTTTGGCAGATCCGCTCGACTGATCTGCATCGGTCGACTGGCTGTCGTCACGCTTTCGCTTCTTGTCTGAGGTTACGTATCGTAGCATTGTGAGGATAA